TATATGTTGGCTTGCTCTCTTCTCTAACGATGATAACATTCAGATAACATTCCTTTCACGCTTGTTGAGTGAAAGAAGGAAACTATCTAAACTTTCCTTACCTTCAAAAAGCTAGTTAAAATTTGCCATATTGGAAAAAGTGATTAGGATTGTGGGCATAGAGACAGTACATTGCCAATGCCCGAAAGGCAAGAAGTGCAATGGTCTAAGACTCATCTGCCCTGAGATAGCGTAGTCGGGTAACAGTGATAGTAAGAGTATGATTTTTTAAAATTTTTATCGTTTCTCGTGCAATGTTCCTATTTACAGGGTGAGAAATCTTGATTTTGCCACAGAGCTGAACCGGATGATGATACTAAGGGAGACACTGAAAACTTTACATTTGAACACATTTAGTGCCATCGAGTTAAAGGATATGCATAAGATTAAATAGAGTATAACTTTTAACTCTTTATATAAATGAGTTTAGAAAGATTGCTTCGATTTTATTCCCATACATTATATGTTAACTAATAAAACCCGCAATACTTGTGTTCCATTTTTGCTGAAGTTACTAAATAGACCATATTGAATAGAAAACCAAGTATGAGATAAGGAAACAGTGACTCTTAGCAAAAGAGCGTATGTAGTTCAACAACCAGTTCCAATAGGTCCAGTCAGCTAATGTTATTGCCTCACTAAAAAATCGAATACGATTTGTATAGAAGTTGTTTGACCTTGTTTTCGCAACTTGTTCATATTGGCGGGAAGACTTAGAAGAACTCACCTTTTCCGGAGTCCATAGTATGCATAATAGTTTCCAGAGTCGGACCGCGGACTTGGCACATTCCCAGACTTCTCGCCTGCATCGTCAGTGAGCTTTGCCACTCTTAGCACCACATTAAAACTCGCCAAATAGACAACTGAAGTCGATCCTTTGACCAATTGTATGCTAAATAGTTGTGGTATCTCTCCTTTTGTCCTGGGCTATTCACCTCTCCAATATCCTCGTATCACCCTTTTAATATCACAATTTCTTAATTCTTTATCTAAACCTATTTGAAACATATTGACACTCCCTGCCGAGTGTTGATCCAATAATGCGGTTTAATCCGCAATCCTCTCCTTCGGGTCATATCATAGTCACATTTCATATTCGACAGAGCTCCAGCCTTATATTACGAAGTATATCTCAATCTGTACTCTAATTGTGCATGCTTTGAGTAAGTGTAGTGAAGTGCTACTGGCTTAACATTCCATTTCCATAAAACATGCACACAGCTAGAGTATTTCGAAAAAAAGGGCATACATCTGAGGTAGGAGACTTGGTTATCACCTATGGTAAGAATAAGGGATGAGGATAGAGCAAGATGAGACAGAAGGGCAGATAAATATCACAAGTAGTCCAAAGAATATTGATCATTTGCGGGTTATAACTTGATGCTAAAAATGGCAGTACTCATTGACAATGTTGTCTAGGATGTCACCCAAATTTATGATGATAGAATAAGACAATATAATAACGTTAGAGAATGTAGTTCATAGTAAATAGTTTATCAGAGTTTTCCTAAAAGCACGAATAAGTTAGAAAAATGAGAAAAATGAAGCCTATTCAATGAAAGGAGACTGCGCCAAACTAGAGGCCATATCGTCTCAATCTTTCAATCTGAAACTCTGCAAATGTTTGGACGTGGCTCGCGAAGCTAGAAAAAATGGTATCATGATTTCACTGTAGTAATAATTAGATTAAGGAGCAGAGAAAGAATTAATGAATGACGAACTTTAATAGTCTTGTCATCCGAACCGCAGATTACATGCCAACCATCAGCCGCTAGACAGCGAACCACGCTACCTGTGGACCAAACGCGCGTGACACCTAAGACATTAACATCATTCTTCCCCGAAGTGCTGTTCTCGACAGGATTTGAATCGGTCGGATGGAGAAGGATGGAAATTGGCTCCGAAGCCCGATGATCTAAGAGTTGCAGTGGCTAAGGATCAAATGGTGAATGGAATAAAAATAGATGGTATTTAAGAAGAGGTGAGCTAGGAAGATACGATAGGTCTAAAACAGTAAATATAAAAACAAAGTGCTAAGAGGTCTATTTTCATACAGACAAACCTGGTTGTCTGAATGCAAATACTTAAGAATCAAAAGTGTGGGGTGAGTTTGGATGAGTGGGAATCGCCTAATGGCAATATCCCCAAAAATCGTGAGCCCAAATATTTAAAAAAATGCTTAGTTCAATCTAGTATCTTAGTCAGAAATGTAACTGGAAAGAGGTTGATAGCAGACGAGCTTAATGCGAAAGAAGAGACATAAAAATCAAGAATATTACATATAAGGCCCAAAAATATGGGCTATAAATATTTTATCTAAACTGGCGATGCTTTAATTTACTTTGAGAAGGGGGGTCTAAGGCATTCGTAGATTGGCCTCACCTGATACCACAGGAAGGTTGCTTTGGATTTTTGACTGTTGAGTTACGCGAAAAAAACCTCGGCTCACCGTCCTACAGCCTTGATGACTCCGTGCTGAGCTTTCGTCTGTTATGTCACGGACATCGTCAGAGCCAGAAAACATTATTCACCAAAAAACACTAAACCGAGAAAAGTGGACAGCTGACTTCCTACTTACTTCTTATATCTCACTTTGATTTCTTGATGAGGCATTGCATGATTTGGTTTTGTCACTTATACTTGTGCTACATGCACGTAAGTTGGTCAGTGATGCAGGCAGGGGAGCGGATATGGTCACAACTTTTGTCTATACAAGTAAACTAGAATATGATCCAGTAGTCCTGGGTCTTGTTACACCTTCGTGAATGCGTGTTTGCGTGAGTACGCAACAACGCCGAATTGGTTGACAATTTTAGGTTCAAAAACAGGCTCCAGCTTAGTCTAGTCTTCTCTTACTCAGTGGCTCTTCCTGTTCCCTAATGCCTGTATGTTTCCACTTATCGGTATATTCGTGTACATCTATACTACATCAACTTACTTACAAATCTTCTTGTTCTATTATTTGCTCGTCTATTAACTTTATAAAGTCATAAGAATTCTTTATTGAAAATTTCTAAAAACCTGAGATCAGCTTTAATTTACGACAAAGGAATCGTTATGTTTTATGCATCACACAACCCTTATTATTTACAATGATCCTAAGTTGGACCCCGTCTTTGTGAATTTTAGACAGACGATATGCATTAGGAGGTCTAGTTTCACGTTGGATAAGTGCATTTTCCAAACTGGGTAGAGATGTATATAGGAAACCAACAAATGCTGGTTTCCTTCTTACTTTCTTCTCGAACCATACCTATGATGTTAAGGTAGGGGTAACGAAATGAATGATAACAAGGATTAAACGTCTAGCGGACGTAAATCATCAAGAACAGAAATTAGAAAGGCTAAGAAAAATTTTAGTTGAGAACAATTATCTTGTAGAAGTAATTGTTAACACCTTCAAAATATTAAGAAGTAGGGTGAAGGAAAATCATTATTTTGGATAAAACAAGGAATTAAGCCCCTCTTCGGCCAGGTTCATAATACTAATATCCTGCAAGCTTTCAAGAAAGATAGGCCAATTATAGAGGAAATGGAGTGTCAATACAATGTATAAAGAAATAATAACGTTCTCCTCGATCATGCCTTCTTGTAGAGAATCTTCCGACCCCCTCTGCAGATCACGTTGTTATAGGGTTTTGTGCTTATGTGATAGTGCTTATATGGGGGAGACTTATCGACCCATAAATAAGAGGTTATTGGAACACAGAACCGCTTGCAACAGTTGATGCATTCAGAATTAGGAAGTAGCTGAAGATGTTATCACTAGAGGACACCAGATAGAGTAGTTTAAATCCTAAAGTTTTTCCGAATATGGGTACTTCACAACTAAACCGAAGATCAGAGAGTCAATTGAAATTAATAAAACAAAGAATATACTGAATAAGAGTAACGAATGTATGAAAGTAAGAAAGAACTTTCTCGGGCTTCTAAATTGAATGCGAGAGAGAGAGAAGTAAAGGGAACAGGAAGAGCTACTGAGTAAGAGGAGAAGACTAGACTGAGCTGAAGCCTGTGTTCGAATCTAAAATTGTCAACCAACTCGAGGTTGTTGTATACACATCCAGGAAGCTGTAACAAGACCCAGAACTACTGGATCATACTCTAGTTTACTTATATAGACAAAAGTTGTGACCATATCCGCTCCCCTGCCTGCATCACTTTAACCTACTTACGTGCATGTAGCACAAGCATAAGTCAGCAAACCAAATCATGGAATGCATCATCAAGATCTCAAAGTGAGGTATAAGAAGTAAGTAGGATATCAGCCGGCAACTTTTCTCGGTTTAGTGTTTTTGGTGAATAATGGTTTCTGGCTCTGACGATATCCATGACATTACGGACGAAAGCTCAGCATAGTCATCGGGATTGTAGGACGGTGAGCCGAGGTTTTCTTCGCATAATTCAATAGATAAAAGTCCAAGGCAACCCTCCTGTGGTATCCGGTGAGGCCAATCTACGAATCCCTTCGACCCGCCTTCTCAAAGGTAATGAAAGTACACCAGTATCAATCTATTAGGAGATTATTCGAAACCCAGCTTCTCTTCATATCTCAGAAGATCTGATCTCTCCTTATAAGTTTGGTTCTATTGCTGGTCCATTTGCCGTAACATTCATGTATGTTTTATAGACCGGATTTTTCAAGTGCTAACTTATCACATCTTTTGCCGGCAGCCTAATATAGAATTAAATGATGCACAAAACGTCATTTACATAGGGCATAGTGATTCTCACTTATATCTCTCTTTCTATCCAATCGACTAGCGAGGCTAGTCCCTTTATCTGATAAAGATAAATTAGTGGTAACCGTTTCAGTCTTAAATGATATAATTTTTCGTCAAGTGATAAAAACCAAAAATTTTTGCATCAAAGCGATATGGGTACCAGAGATACATAAAATAGCAAGGCATTCTAGATCAATAAAAGCAGTACCTCAAATATAATGATTAATGCATTACAATTAAATAGTTTGCCTCAAGACGAAATTTTTAATTACCTGGTCCGTGGTCGAAAGTGGCACAGGACGAAATCCCTGATTTTCCATCTGTTTGTTAGACGATGTTGGTGGCTGCTGCTGCTGATAATGATCCCATGTGAATATATAACCATCATGATGAGCTATCAGGAGGCGACGTCGGCGAAGTCTTGGCCCATATTTATAAGGAGTTCCAGCAGTATATGATTCCATTCCACTTAAGCAATCATCTCGAGTT